CTTACAATTGTGGTGCGAGTTACCGTAATCGTTTGGTCTTTATTGTTTTGAAGATCCTCTGTTCCTTTTGTCAAAGTGCACTCATGCTGATTCAATTACTTTAGAACCACGCTCTGACGGAATAAAATTATTTTTCTTATCTTTTTTTTTCTACTGTTAGTTTCACTCTAACATATTAAACGTTAGGCCTATCACTTCTATGGTAGTTAACTTCACACCAACTTTATTCTCTTTTGCTATTATCTGTCTGTTTGCTGCTTCCCGCTTGTCTCACGATATTTATATCCTTATCACTTAATCGTCTATCAACCTTCTATATTCTGACGTCAATGAATTATTAACAAAACTTCCTACAATCTATGCTTTTAAGTCATATTATAACAAAAACTAAACAATAATAAAATATTCACTCACAAATATAAATTATTCACTAATATTTAAACCAAACAGTATTTTATTTCATGACACTGAACCTAGAGTAATTTTAAAATAATCCCAGGAAAATCTGAATAAAATTGGGCTAATCAACTCTTATATGTTACAAAAGGGTCAACTCTCTCAGAGTGCATTTGTCAATGAGATGAATTATAGTTATCTCATAAGTAAAATGTGAGGAGACATAGTCTTCAGGAATTCCTAAACCTTTACATGACTGGTATTACTAGAGAACACAGAATTAAAAATCTAAGGAATTATCCAATCACATCATCCACGGAAAAATCTAGAAATATATAAAAGTGGTACAAACCTTGGTATGCGTAACTAGCATAGAGTAAGGCTACTCATTTTCCAATCCAACCATCAGAAGGTTATATATATAATCATTTAAAGCATATACTTTCACTTCCGGTCAGTCATCCATAGTCATAAACGGATAAAGCCTGTGGTAAAGCACCCAAAAAGCGTTGGGGATATCCCATCTGTCAACCAAAATCCAAAACGCGGAAGTTAAACAAGTTGGCCATCATGGAAAATCAAAACAAGGGTGAAGAGGTGAATGTTTAAACCCACAACGTCTCACCTCTTACTGCCTTTCGCTGTCTGCAGTCAGATGTGGGAAGGCAGTTACCCTTAAAGTTATTTAAGGTCTAAAGGTAGAAATAGAACACCCAAAATTTGTACAGTATAGAACTCCCGACCACCACCCTTGTAAAGGTCTTAAAAAATAAGTAAGAATGTCTAAATAATCTAGATTCTTTAAAAACAGCTAATTCAGTCGCGACTTACAATTTTACTAAATTATATATTACAGTACATTTAAAAGACCTTGGTAGAGTATCTAATAATCTGTTTGATAATTTTAAGGATGCAGAAATGGGTATTACAAAATATAACTTCACTGAGACCCAATAGATCTATAAACAAACGGTGGATATTCCAATGGGTGGTAATTTCTCTTCAAATATGGCCAATTTGTTTCTGTTCTTCTATGAATATTTATTTTTTTAAAAAGGTTAGATCTCAATTCATTTAACTATACATGCCGATATAGTGATGATTTAATTTCATTAAATAATTTATACTTTGCCAAAAAAAAATATATCCAAAGGAATTGAAAAAAAAAAAAAAAAAAAAAAAAAA